CTGATTCATTATTTTGATTATGATCCAGGAGCACTACCAAAGTGTTTCAAAAAAGGGTTATCTTGACGTAGGTCTGCCTCTGGCCTAGATCAATCTAAGTTAAATGAAGTCTCCATCACTCTGCTTAAAAATAAAATTCGAAACTTCATACACCTTAAAGTTCATAGGACGAAAAGATATTTTTTTGAGGTCCTTACACTTATTATGCCTAGCAATGAATAAACTGGGTATTCAACTTATTAATATCTCAAATCAATGATGGGTTCTATTTGCCAACTAAATGGACACCCGAATCAGACCGAACCATTTGTCAGGCTATTGTTCTCTTGTTCCCTCAAAGTTATGGAGTAAGACATCGATTTCTCAATAAGATCACTTCTTTTGATTGCATGATGGACTCCCCTGAAAAACATTGGGCGTGTGTACACGATGTGCTTTACCTAACTGAGCTATAGCCCTTAGTGTTTGTAATACCTATTTTATTGTGTAGATAATTTCTTGTCAAGATGAATATTCCATGATTTAGCATCAAAGCTATTTGATCTATTTGATTGGTATTGCTTATAAGTAATATGATATTTATAATTCATCGATGCAACGGGTCCCACTTGGTTCTATTTGTAATGATAAATAACCTACTTAACTCAGTGGTTAGAGTAGGTAGAACTTATTAGATACCGGAGTCAATGGTATCTAATAAGTTTTTTCACCCACACTCTTTTATTGATTTTGTATCTTTTCTATTTCATTTTTGAGTTTTCCATTTTTTTTGTTGCATTCAAATCGGATCCTGCTTGATTGTATTCAATCAGCAAAACCAAATCAAATATAGGGTGGATAAACGGAACTTCTTCTTTTTATTTTATTTTATTTTATTCGTACGCACCAACTAGTTATGAAATTACATTGATAGTCTCTACTGGTGTCCTAGCTCGTCTGAGAGCTAAATTTGCCTCAATTGTTTGTCTCTTACCCTCGGCTTTCCTCAAATTAGCTTCCGCTATTTCAAAAGTTTGCTGAGCTTCTTGGGGATCAATGTCACTACCCCTCTTCGCATCATTTACTAAAACAGTTATCTCATTATTGCCTATTCTAGCAAAACCGCCCATCAGAGCCATCGTTAACCATTGGTCGTTAGGGCGTATTCTCAAAATACCTATATCTACAGCTGTTGCAATAGGGGTGTGATTTGGTAATATGCCAATTTGACCACTATTAGTAGATAAAATGATTTTGTTGACCTTAAGGATTTCATCCAAGGATAATCTAGATGTTTTGATGATAACAAACCATTAATGGTGTTTAAGGACTAATGTTTACATTGAGTGTTATATAGATTATTCATTCAAAGAATGACCTCAATAAAGCTATAAAGATCATTCCAAGTATTCCATTATTTAAGATCATATCAATGAAAGGAATGGATACAAAGGAGAGTTGAAGTTGCAAAAAACCAAATGTAAAGTTCATCCAAAGATAGCTTGGACTACAATGAGTAAGAAAGCAACTCAAAGGAAGGAAGAAAACAAGATTACCTCAAATCCTACATGATTATGGACAAAGCATGAAGAAAAGGGTACATAGGATGGTGAGTGTTTATGATTCAATGTCAAAGCATTTATGAATCCATTTGAAGCTCATCTCTATAGGACCATACATATTATATCATCATTTATATGTTCCTATATTCATTAGCAATAAACTATGCACTTCATTCATATATAATTAACACATGAAGTCATTGCTAAAGAATGAATTAGTTCAAGCTTGCTTAAGCTTTGAAAGAACTCATCACTTGTGCTAGAAATGTCAAGACCATGCACATCAATTATATGATTCATATTGATCAACTATTAAGGCATGAGAAGCCATCATTACCATGAGTTGGCAAAGGACATTAGGACCCCTGAATGCGCGTCATGAAAAACTGTGTTTTTGGCTAAATATAAAAAATGGCTAAGTGTGAAAAATGGATTTTTGAAATAATAATTATTTCAAAATAATTTTTCCCGATAATAACTCGATCTTTATACTTCAAATAGCCTAAACTGATTTTATGGGATTTTTTCATCCATTCTACATTGATCTACATAAGGATTCATTTTTACTAAAACTGTCAGAAATCCAAATTTGTACTAAAACTGAATTTCTACATTTTGATTTAGTTGGATTTCAATTTTCTTATATTTTTTATTAAACCCAAATAGGGGGTACTTCCTTATTTACATTGTAAACTTAAAGTAAATGGACATATAAATACTGTAAAGACATTTACTTAAATATTTTCAATGAAAATAAAATATATGCAGAAGTCCAGCAGAAAAATTGTCCAGTTAAAATATCTGAAACACTGTCCCCAAAATCTGATGACCATGTAACCGGTTAGGAAGATCCTTCTAACCAAGTAGCTTAATGGGTAGAATGACCAATCCTTGAAATACTTCTTGTAACCGGTTAGGACAATTCTTGTAACCGAGTAGATGTATTAAGGCAGAAAATGACTCATTCCAACAATGACTGATGTAACAGGTTAGGAAGAACCTTCTAACCGAGTAGATGCATTAAGGACTCATTCTAACATTGAATGATGTAACCGGTTAGGAAGAAACTTGTAACCGATTAGTTGAATTAAGCCAGAATAATGACTTCAATCATTTACATTCAAGTAATCGGTTAGATAAGATCTGAATCTCATCTTCTCGAGTAGTTTAAGCCTTGTAACCGGTTAGATAAATGGGCAGAAGCTTCCTAACGGCTATTTTTACCATTTGACCTCCTGGGAACTTACCATAATGCCTCCAAACAGCTATATTTTTCCAATGGCTTATAAATACGCAATGTAAGGACATTGTGGGCATGCAAGAGAGCCAACACTTGAGAGACTTCATTAGGCATCAAAAGAGAGCTTTTGTTTTCACATTTTCTCCTCATCTCTCTCATTCTTTCATATACTAATCTTGAGAGATTCTAGTAAGGATTTAAAGGACTTTTGCTCTTGTTTGAATCTTCATAGAGTTTTTGCTCTATTATACACTTGAGAGATTCTATTGAATTCATAAGAGTTTATATTCTTCACATATTTCATCTTTTCTCATTCATATCATTCATAGAGTTTGAGCTTCATTGATATTCATATATACTTTAGTTGAGAGCTAAATTTGTACATCAATCTTTGAGAGATATTTCTTGTCCTTCATTATTCTTGATACTATCTATTGTAAGGGTTAGCTTGACCAACCGGGTTGGTGTGACCCAAAGGAAGACTAAGGGAAGGTTGTTCTCTTAGCAAGACGAAACAAGGTGTTGTTTCATGTAAATGTTTGCTCTCCACCTGTAATGAGAAGCCATAGTGGATTGGAAAGTCTCAAGAGGGGTCTTGAGCTGAGGAGTAGGAGTTTCCGAACCTCGCTAAAATCGCTGAGTCATTATTTGCAATTTCTTTTCCCTTATATCTTTTACAATTATGCTATTAATTGTTTACTTTCATATCTTAAATATTACATAATTGCTTAAGTGGTTGATTAGAAATTGTAAATCTATAAATTACAAAAATTGGCCATTGACTCTATTCACCCCCCTCTAGAGTTAATCCTTGGGCAACAGATTTCTTTCACTTTTGAATCCCAAACAATTCGATTAGGGATCAGTACATAAAGATTTAAGGTCATTTCTTCAAATTACTCTCCATTTCTAAGTTCATAGCCTTCGCGGTAGTTTCGTCGATGTTACCTACCAAAATAAAAGGCCGGGAAGACCATCTAATTCTCCGAAAGGGATCAATTGAAACACTCTAATTGTTTCTGCCAAACCAACATATTTCCCTGAAGAACCCATAAATACTTCTGCTAAGAAAAAAGGTTGTGATAAAAAATGCTCAATTTTTCGTGCTCTTGCTATAGTTAAACGATCCTCTTTGGATAATTCATCCAACCCAAGGATAGCTATAATGTCTTGAAGTTCTTTGTAACGTTGTAAAGTTTGCTTAACTCTTTGCGCAGTTTCATAGTGCTTCTCACCAACGATCCGAGGCTGAAGCATAATTGACGTTGAATCTAAAGGATCTACTGCTGGATAGTATTTCAGTATTTATTTATTAATTGCTTCATTAGTTTAGTATTTATTTATTAATATAAAAAAAAATTATTAATTGATATAAAAAGAGTTTTTATAAAGCTCTAACACAAATTACCTAATAAAATTTCAGTTATCTATTTTATTTTCTATAAAACTTTATCACCTACATAGTTGACGTTGAGTCATTATTGTATTTTTTTTCTTTCTTTTTTCTTTTTCAAAAGTATCATTCTTCTTTTTTCTTTAGTTTTTATTTTTATTTCTCTTTGTAATTATAGTTCGAATAGTTCAAAATTTGTTATTCTTAATTTATGGCATTGAGAAGGTTAAACTACAAAAAAATTGACTTTTTACCACAGTAGAAAATACTTTATATCACGGTTTTGAACCGTGGTAGAAACAGCCGTGGTAGTAAGTCATAACTTACTACCATGGTTTTGCACCGTGTACTTTCTACCATGGTATAGAACCGTGGTAGTAAGTCCTCTTTCTACCACAATTCTGCATCGTGGTACCTACCACGGTGCAAAACCGTGGTAGCAAGTCCTCTTTCTACCACAGTGCAGAACCGTAATTGAAAAAGGATTTTCTACCACGGTTCAAAACCGTGGTAGAAAGTGTTATATAATTTTTTTTTTTTTTTTTTAAATAGTACAGCCCCCCACGAGGCCTTTTTTTTTCCCCACTACTAGCCTTGCAGGACTCCAAAAGCAAACACTAAATAAATTAAAAATAGCATCATAACCAAAATAACTTATAACTAACCAATAACATCATATATATATATATATATATATATATATATATATATATATATATATAACCATTCCAAATCATTGTTTTATACAAAAATTAACCATATACAAATTTCTAACTTCTTATGCCATACCAAAATAAAACAAAAATTCTTATATCTTCTTACTTTGTTTGTCTCTCTGTTCCTTTACATATATGCAACTTGTTCAAAGCCATACAAAAAATATAACGGCAACAAAAAAAGTAACGGCAACCGCAATCCTAGCTTGACCTACAAAGATGTAATAGTTGAAGTCATTGAATATAAAGCAAGTTGTAAAGTTGTCAAAATTAAACCAAGCAAAGCAAGCATTATAATAAAGGTACATTGAAAGATCTACTCTTCGTATTAACTCAATATCTTAGGTCATTGACATCCCGTCACCAAAAGAAATCATTTGAGTAGTAATGTGCAACAAAAGTAATTTGAGCCTGAAAACTCTTACAAGAAACAATAAAAAGCATAAAACTTCAGCACGAATAAAACTTCAAAAATTAGTGTTTAAATTAAAATTTATGTGATTGCTCTGTAGTCTGTTCTTGACCAACACATTTAAGGCATAAAATCTATTGGAGAGCAGAAGACCACTCAGACAAAGATGCCCTGTAATGACTAGTCCCCTACCTTAACATCAGGCTTGCAATGGAGGGTAAATCAGTAGGCCAAGAGAGTGACATTTATGAAATTTAGTTGAGTGGAGCGTTGTGTTCGGCTCATAAAATTAGTGATAACAAAAAGTAAAGGAACCTTTAAATGATCACTCCCCTATCTGAACATCACATTTGCAACTGAGGGTAGAATCAGCAGACCAAGAAAGAAAGTGACATTCAAAAAATTTTGTTGTGTTCAGCTGATAAAATTACGGCATAAAAATACTCCACGGGGCATGCAGACGAAATCCCTGTCACAACTGAGCCACCTTGCTCTCTAGAATATATACAAGTGACAAATAAATGGTACATGTACAAAATTGTACAGGTAAGATCAATCTTAATTCTTAAGCTATTGCACCCAATCAAAGGGAAAGATTAAGTACCTAGAAAACAATAAAAATTTCATTGCAACTGAATCTTAATATCATATTCATATGCTGCCAAATTTAAGATAGAGAACACAGGAGTTTAGTGCCTTCCTTTCACTTACAAGAGCAACAACAAGAAGAATGCACCATTTTTGAAAGTTTGTGCATGCAATTAATTTATCATGTGCGTGTGTATATCTATATATGAAACTGACTGTCACCGTTGATGAGATCCCCAAGCAATTCTCAACCAACATAAGCAATTCATTTCCATGAAGATTATAACAACAGAACACTCTGTATCCTAGAAGCAGGAAGTGATACATCTGACAAGAAGGACAAGGACCCTACTGCTAACAGATCAAACCTTTAAGATAGAAGATATTGTCATGCTTTTTAGAAGCATCCACCTTCTATTTCATTGGATAGCTCAAAAGGATAGTAGATAGTCTAAAATTTTGTAAATCAAATTATTCAACGGCGATAATCTTTGACCTAAGATTTACTCATAAGTCACAACGACCAGTTGACTCTGGGTCCAGACCACCGTAAGTTCATCTGATGTCCAACTAAGTACTTAAGATCTATGCAGTTAAACTTGTCCAGGTATTCAGGAAAAAAAAACTGCCCAGGGGCTATCTTCAACAGACAAGAATCCCTAGACTGCCAAGTTGGCACCAGGTTACTGTTAGTCCAAAAGATTATATTTATGTGAAGTCGTTTTATAAAACATTTTGAGAAAAAAGAGGATGCAAAGCATAAAGTACCAAAAAAATTTCCAGCACAAATTTTGCATAAGTAGCAAGACCTATACCAGTTATTATACTTTATCTGTTCAAACTTCTAACTAAAAGCAGCACACAGCATAATATACCATCTCCTCTCTTTATTTATCAGGTACGTACTCTCGCACACATTGGGGGTCAAAACTACAAAGCACAAACAATGAAAAACTAAAGAAAGAGAAACTTTCTAAAATCAAGTGAGATGTACTATCTGAACAAAAAAAAACAAAGGTAACTTTACATTGAAAGAAAAAGTCAATAAGTGGAAAATTAAAACTAATTCTAATATAGTTATATTAACAAATGAAACAATGCCATACCTGAAGCTTTGAAAGATACTTCAACAAAGATCCTGCCATAGTGCGTTGAGAGAGCTGCAATTAAGTCAAACAAAAACTTTTAAAATAAAAATAAAAATAGAAACAAAAAATATAAATATGTTCTAGTAAAATAAAGCAATCCAAAGAATCTTTTAACCAGTACATAATGAACATAGAGACAATCCCGTGAACAATTCATGCAATCAAGATAAAAAAAAATATAAGACTGTTGATTATATGAATGCATATATTAAGAGGAAAAAATGCCAGTAGAAAGGTCAACTACAGTGTCAGCAATACTCTTTCAATTTTTTTTTAAAAATTGTTATCAAATACAGAACGTGTCTCAACAGAGCCTTAAATATTAACATAGGTAAGCTACCAAATCCTATTTCACCATTTGGCTTCAGGTAAGGCCATAGCCACTGCTAAACTATAGGTTGTTACATCTTCTATTGCCTCCTCAACCTATGCTCTTTCTGGTATTTCTCTAGGTTAGAAATACAAGGCATGTGTTGGCAATGTCCTACTCAAAATTCTGGTATGTGTCAAAATGTCATAAGTATATGAGTAACCATTGAAGACAATGCGGAATAGGTAGAAGAAGAACATGGCTAGAAATCTGCATCCTCAATTACATATCTAGGGCACAGGTAATTTGACCTTGGAAAGACCTTGAATGACCACCTTGATCTTGAAGAGGCCCAAAGTTTTGTTTCAAATGTCCTTTTGAAAAATGGTTTTTCAAAAATAAAGGATTTCAACATATTTTAAAACTGTACTACTGAAAAATAGAGAGCATTGATTGCTACCAAAAGAATAAGTGCACCTTAGGAGCTAGAATAAGCATGGACTTGAGCGTCAATTCCCAAAGAAAAGCAGAAGTATCAGAGAACCCTGTAGCAACATGAGGGTAAACCTAGCAGAAAACAAGATCATACATGTTAGAATGTCCAAAGTCAATCATAAACATGTAGAATGTTATTAATTATCATGCCCAAAACAGGAATAGATTGGAACTTCCTCAATCTTAAGAAAGACAGCATAATCATTTAATCACGGACTGCATACTTGCTCATCAACAATTTGGGCTGACAGTGACTCTCCAAATTGATCAACATGTTGCAGGAGACCAACTCGAATAGCCCGGTCATTGGAGGCAAAAAGTTTAATGTAATACCCCGATATTTTAAAAGATTTATTCATTGTGATTAATTAACTTTATTTTATTTTTAATTGATTTGTTTGATTTAATTGAAATTAATTGCTTTTATTTTGTTTTTAAATGATTTGTTTTATTTAATTGAGTGTTATGATTTAATTGTTTTATTTGTGTTAAACTATATTTCGCGATTATGTTTGATGAATTGGTGTGATGTTATGATTTGTGGAATGTTATGATTGAATTGTTGATTTGTAATGTGTGTATTTATGATTGTGTGAATTGATTGTTAATTGTTTTGTAATTATTAGATTTAATTTAATTATTTTATTTATTTAAATTAATCGGGTTGGGCTTAAGGAATGTTAAACCAAAGGATATGGTTTTGGGCTGGAATGAAACCTTATTAGGTTAATTAATAAAGGCCTATGGTTATTTTATTATTTAAATGATTAATTTTGGTATAATTATAAATATATATATTTAATTATATATATAAATATAATTAATTAATAAGTTTTACGGAAGAATATATATATTTATGGATATATATATATATACATACATGATATATGATTTAATTAATCAATGGTTAATTATGAGATATATATATATATATGTATTTGTGATATAATATATGTTTATATATATTATATTATTTAAAGAGTATTATTTTTATTATTTATATTATTTTATTTGGTAATCCTATTAGGAATAGGATTTAAGTTTTTATGTGTATAAATAAACACATAAGGCTTTAGGGTTAAAAGTTTGATACGTTAGAAAAATAAGAGAGACAGAGAGAGAGGAAGAAGAAGGGCTGACAAGAAAGAGGTCGGATCTGAAAAGGAGGATGTTAGAATTGGAAGAGATAATTAAAGCTTGAAGCTTAAATTTATTTGTTTAAAATAATGTTTAGATTGGAATAATTAAAATTATAAATTATTGTAATTAATTTTTGGATTATGGGAATTTAATTGATATGTATAGGTGTTACATATATATTTTTCTAAAATCAATCTACAAGTGGATTTGTGACCCAAGAGGGTTAATTAGCATTTATAGAATTTTTAGTAATATTCTGGAGTTTTTCTAAAATTTCTGGAATTTTTCTGGATTGTTTTATAATTTTCTAATATTTTTTTTTATTATACATATAGTTATTTATGTGTATAAATATAATATACATATATACTTTACACGAATTTGAGGATGTTGTATCAGATTGGGAGTGCAATCCAGTGTGATGCGATTTAGAGTAGGATGGTGTGGATGCGTATCTGGGCCACTGATGGAGATGATGGTTAGAACCAATCAGGTGTGGCGCGGCGTACACTTGATATGGAGCACACAGATCTGGACCATTGAAGATAGCAGATTGATTCAGTGCAGCGCACCCACAGGGACGGGGTGCAATCGGCCAATGGGAGCAGGCCGCGTCACCAAGAAGGCAAGAAAGGTAGCCAGCGCGCGTGGCTGCGTGTGCGCACGCGTGGTAGCGCGTCTTAGCGCTTGGATGCGCGTGAGGCCACCTGGCAGCATGTGGTGGCGCGTGGAAGCGCGTGAGGAATGTTTGGAAACTTCTAACGGCGCGTGGTGGCGCGTGGAGAGGTGTTTGGGGCCTCGGAAAATTCCTGTGGGGTCCGGTGATGTTCCAGAGTTGATTTTAAGCTTGTTGGTGTTGAAATCAACCCTCAAAGGATGTGTTATTGGTGTTCGGAGAGTTATAGAGTATCACCACGGTATTTACTGGGTGTATATATAACTAATTAATAACTTTTGATGGAATGGGGTATAAGTATATATATATGTGTGTGTGTGTGTGTGTGTGGTTTATTTAATTTAAGAGTTGTGTGGATAGTTGTATATATATATGATTTAAATAATCAATGATTATTATTGTTGGTATTTTATATATATGTATGTATATATATCATTTAAGAGTATTAATATTATTATTCTTATTTGGTATAAAGGAGTGATTGATTAAATCATAATAGGCTGATTATTAAATTATTGATATGCAAATAATATGCATGAGGTGTCTATGTATGATTTAGGTTGTTGTTAAGTTTAAATTGGGTACATGGTTGAATGTAGGCATGGATAAGTTGCCGTAAGCGTAAATATATTGCCTAAGTATTGATATAAATAAAATACATATATAGGAAGTATGGATGAGTTGCTAGTTTAAAAATATAAATATATATGTTTGTAGAGGCATGGTTGAATTGCCAATGTATAAATATACATACATGGAGGCATGGTTGAATTGCCAATGTGTAAATAAATATACTTGTGGAGGCATGATTGATTTGCCAATGTATAAATGAATATACCTAAAGGAGGCATGGTTGAATTGCCAATTTGTATAACTAAATATATTTATAATGGCATGGTTGATTTGCCAAAGTGTACTTATATTGATATGTGTTAGATGATTAAAATATCATCTGTGGTTATGGTATGTATAGGTTGGATTAAAATTAGATATTCTTAAACTAGAATAGCCTAGTACTTACGGGTTAGTGTATTACTTTATATATATTAATAAAGTAATACTGGTGGAGACATGGATGATTCGACAAAGCTTGAATATTGAATATGTGATTTAAATAATTACAGTTATTATTAGGGATGAGATTAAATGTACTTTTCCATTAATTATGTTTTATTATTTAAATGATTAAATAATCATTCAGGATGGGATTAAGGTTTAAGGAACTTTTCTTTAAAAGAAATAGTGGATTGGTGTAGGTATGATTAATATTTAATTATTGTTTATGGGTTTTGAAAATTTAATGAACCTAGTAGTAGATGTGGTTAGGGTATTATATATAATTATTTATATATAAGTGTATCATTGTTTATTAAAGTAAAAATTTTATTATGTTTGGTTTTGATCAGAGATGATTTACTTATTGGTTTTCAGAGGCCTGGTAGAGTGAACTTGTTCGTAGGGTTTAACCCACGATTTATTTTTCAAGTTGTTAGAAGTTCAAGAGGATCCGCAACTGGAGGACTTATCCACTCTTTCGGTTTATTTAAAAGTAGGATATTTTTATTATTTCATTTGTTATTAGTATTTAATAATGAATTTCTGGATAATGGATTTTTGGTTAAGGGGTCCTTGACTTACAGGATTCCCGTGTTGTAAATTTTGGGAGATATATTAATGAAACTTTTATTTAATAGATTTCCTTCAGCGAGTTTTTTTTATTCTTTATTATTCATCTTTGTACTCTGTGCTTGTTAAATACTTTAATTGTTTTGATATCCCTTAATTTTGTGCGCGGACTTGATCAACCCGTGTTCCGAAATTAGGGGGTATTACATTTAACAACTGTTGGTAGTATCTACAAATGAAAGCAAGGGATTTTGCATTGATCAAGTTAAAGTAATTAGTAATCATAAAAACATCCAGGAACCCAAAGAGGAGTGGAATGATTGGAATCAATTAGAAATGGAAACATAAAACAAGAAGGCCACCATGTGAATACTTAAAAGACCTTGGTGCTAAATTCTTCAGGTGGGAGCCAAGAACCCATCTTCAAAAGTGCATTTAATGCGGGGGCAGCAGCAGAACCAAATTCTAAGGCGGAAGCTAATAAAGGAAGTAACTGCATAGACCAGAAGATAAACATAGTGAATTTGCCAAAAATTGAAATTGAACATTTTGCACAAGAAATTTAAGAAGCACCTTTTTCAGCACAATTTGCCTTGGAAGCTGCTCTGCTAGATTGGGGAGCTTCCGGAAGAATGTATCCTTCTCAACGCTGTCCTTCAAGTTAAGAATTTTCATAAAATGTATGGTATCCACCAACTTATTTTGGAAATATTCTGCCAATCCATACTTGGGATATTTTAGTACAAACACAAGCAAAATTATGGGAGAGAAAAGGTAATTGTTGGAAAAAACGAACCTGTGGTAGATAGATAAAAAAATTGAAAATCACAAAAAACACAAAAATGAGCATATAAATTCATATGCTGCACTCAGTAAGACAATTTAAGTTGTTAATGCAGTTATTTATAACATAAAATATACGTAATATATGTGAAGAGAAAAATTAAACGAGTAGAACACGCGGCTATTATATGGTTCAGCAACTAGGGCCAACATCCACGGCACAAAGAGCCCAAAGGGCTACATATCTTTCATTATAATCTCTCTTTTCATACACAATACAATGGTGGAGGCTCCTCTACATAGGAGAAGAAATTATGAGAATGGAAAGAAATAGAAAATAGTAAACAAGGAGGATTTTTCACCAGTGATTCCTCTAGCAACAGTAAATCGTCAATAATAGGAAACAACATAAATTACTGGAGGATTTTTCTGCCACTAATTCCTCCATTACATATTCAATAGCTGTCATTGCTTGGTGCAGTGTTATAAGCTCGGGTTGCCAATCCTGAGAATGCAGCTTCGAATATACTTTGTGCAAATAATGCACAAGATCATATCAGGATCCATCCGACCCTCCCAACACTTTTGATTAGAGGGAACTACACTAGGTCATGACCTTTACGAAGTTTAAACATTAAAAAAAAAAAAAATAGCAATAAGTCCATAGGTCATATTTCAGTGTCACAAACACACATATATTGCACAAAAACTGATTTATACACTAAACTGCGGATCCAAGCTTGGGTTTTCAGATACGGGACAGCTACAGAGAAAATTTAAAGGTTCAGTTAGAGAGAAGATAAGTTCAAGAGAAAAAGGCAGAAGACGGCAGATATATATATATATATATATAACCCAACAAATTAACCACTGTCTCTGTTAGAAGTATGGGGCGAATCCCATACCATACCTATTTGAGTATTAATTTGATGAATATAACAGGGGATGAAAATACAAACCTCAATTCGTGTCCTTCGAATTTAGGGCTTCGAATGAGAGAGGGAACTAGGGTTAGTGCTTGGAGAAAGGGGTGAATCCTTGTTCAATCTCGACGCCAATCAGCTGTGCCGCTATCTTCTCTGCTCTAACGCTGCGCTGACCGTCGACTCAACCCTCAGTGGCTTCGGTAGAAGGGTTAGGCTTGGAGAGAAAGAGGAATGACGGCTTGGACGGTCTGAGAGAAAGGGGGTGGCCGGCTTTCTTTTCATCTCCTTGGTCTGCTTTCTTATTTTCTTCCTTCTACGGCGGCTTCTCCTCTGCAGCAGGCGGAGGTGGAGCTTCCTCCTGCGTTGCTGCCTCCGTATACATTGATTTCAAGAATTTCAGAGGCCATAGACTCCGAATCGTGAACCAGATCGAGAAAGGGGCGGCCGGCTTTTGAGATATATGTTTGTGTTCTGTAAGAGTGTTGTATGTGTGTGGTTTCTGTACATGTGAGCAGTATATACATTTAACATATATGTATATATATATATTTTTATTGACACTGGTGGGAATAAGACCGCCAAAAGGTAAGTGAAAAATTTTCACCCTCTGTAAAATCGTGATAGAGAGACCCGTTTAAATTATAATAAAAATAATTTATTTTCTATCACGATAATAAAAATAGTCGTGGTAAAAAAATATACTACGGTTTTAAAATAATCGTGGTAAAAAATATACTTTCTACTACGATTATTTTAAAACCATGATAAAAAGGGTCTTCTACCACGGTTTTTTTAAAACCGTGGTAAATAACTGTTTTTTTTGTTGGTACTTTTTCTTTTTAGAAACATTATTATTATTTTTTTCTTTTGTTTTATTTTTAGTTTTCTCTTTCTAATTGATGTTTAGAAGGTAGTTGATTTGTTTTATTTTATTTTTCTCTTTCTAATTGATGTTTAGAAGTGGTTGATTTGGTAAGTTTACTTTGGATTGAAATTTTTTTTCTTTTTTTTTTTATTTTTTATTTTTGGTTCATTCATAATTTATTATTATTTTCAGTAATTAATTTTTTTTTTCTTTACTATTTATTTTTGAGAAGTATCATTATTCTTTTTTCTTTAATTTTTATTTTTATTTTTATTTTACTCTTTATAAGTTTACTTTGGATTATAATTTTTTTCTCACTTTTTATTTTTTATTTTTTTTGTTCATTCTTAATACAGGTTTCAATGTTTTTTACTTTGGACCTTCAAACTTATTGTTCTGAAAGCTGAGAATCCTCAAGCCAGGCAAAGAAGCAAGAGCATCAACATCTATGTCGCCGGTTAAGCCCATGTTATCGAGCTGCAAACCCAACACATTACCTTCAGAGCAGCGCACACCTATCTATTGTCCATAATCTCCGTTACACGGACTTGTTGCAGGATTCCAACTGCCTAGAGCCGAATTAGCATTCGTTATTGAGGCCTTGAACTTTATGAGGGCGTCGGATTCTGGCGCACCAAATATTGTCACAACTAGAAATGATGAGAAGACAAGGAGAGGGAGGAGCAATGTTGTAGTCTGTGCGCGCACATGTTGGGCTGCACGCACGCCCATCAGCATCGTATTCACGTCCCACAGTGAGTGCTTCCCAGGAAAATGTAGGAAGTTTTTGGCAAAATGGATATTATTGGTGTTAGAAATATTAGACCGAATTGAACTCTGTATATTGATGTAAATTATAAGAGATACAGGAGGGGTTTATATAGGGAGGATTATAGTGATGAACAAGTAATCATATACAAGGTAACTATATATTGTAATCCTATACAAGATAACTATATATTATAATCATATACAAGGTAGTAGAGATTATATAATATAGTAAGAATATATTGTAATATATTCTAACAGCCCCCCACAAACTCAAGGTGGATTGAATGAAACCATCTTGAATTTGGAAATGAGATCTTGAAAGCGGCATGGCGGAAGCGATTTGGTGAAAACATCAGCGATCTGATCATGTGAAGTGATAGACCGCAATTGTAAGGTCTTCTGAAGAAGATGATGACGAACAAAATGACAGTCAATCTCAATATGTTTAATGCGCTCATGAAAAACATCATTATGTGCAATCTGGATGGCACTCCTATTATCACAATAAATAGGAATGGCAGTGGATGAAGAAACGTCCATGTCCTGAAAGAGCTAACGCAACCATAGAAGCTCAGAAGTAGTATCAGCAAGCGCCATGTACTCAGCTTCTGTACTAGATCGTGCAACCACAGTTTGGTTCTTGATGCGCCAAGAGATAAGTGAATCACCAAAAAAGAAACAATATCCAGTGGTGGAACAACGATCAGTAGGGTCTCCTGCCCAGTCTGCATCGGAATAGGCACGAAGAATAAGCGATGACTGGAAAGAATAATGCAGTCCATGAAACATAGTGCCTTTGAGATAACGAAGGATGCGATGAACATTAGCAAAATGAGTGAAGCGAGGGGCAGTCATGAACTGACTAACTATGTGAACGGCATGAGAGATGTCGGGACGAGTGATAGTGAGATAAACCAGACTACCTACCAATTAGCGATACAAAGTACCATCTCGAAGAGATTCTCTATCGTGTAGATTAAGTCTGGTATTGTACTCAAGGGGGGTATCAACAATCTTGCTGTCAGTAAGACTGGATTTTGATAGAAGATCTGATATGTATTTCACTTGAGTAAGATAGTATCCATCTGTAGAGGTATTTATCTCAAGACCAAGAAAATAACTGAGGGGTCCAAGATCCTTCATCTCAAACTGACGATTAAGAAATTGTTTGAGCTCCTGAATTCCTATCAAATCATCTCCAGTAATGATTATATCATCAACATAAAGTGAAAGGAGAATGATACCTCAATTGGTGCGTCGAACAAATAAAGCAGAGTCATATGGACTAGCAGAGTAGCCAAGTCGAAAGATACTCTGACTGAACTTGGCAAACCAAGCTCGCGGTGCCTATTTGAGACCATACAAAGCACGTCTAAGGCGGCACACCTTTGTAGAAGGATAAGGATAACCTGGAGGAGGCTACATGTATACTTCCTCAAGTAAATCACCATTGAGAAAAGCATTCTTAACATCCATTTGAAAAAGTCCCCAATGATGAGAAGCTGCCACGGCAATAAGAGTTCGAACAGAGGAAAGACGTGCAACAGAAGCAAATGTCTCCTCAAAATCAATGCCATATTCCTGTGTGAACCCTCTAGCAACAAGTCAAGCTTTGTAGCGCTCGACAAACCCATCTGAACGAGTCTTGATCATGTAAACCCATTTACATCCTACAGCAGACTTTCTAAGAGGCAGATCAACCAGATCCCATGTACGAGTTTGAGATAGTGCACCTAACTCTTCTTCCATTGCATGCTGCCATATGGGGTTAGAGGATGCCTCATGAAAATTGTGAGGTGCATGTAAGGTAGCAAGAGCATGATAACAATGAAAATCACTGAGATGTGCAGGTGGATTTCTTACCCGAGTGGAATGAGGGCGAAGATGTGTGGTAGGCGCACTGGCAGGAACCTCGGACTGAGCAGATGAGTGGGATGCAGCTGCAAAGGGTTGACTATATCAGATGATTCTGTGGAAGTTGGAAAGAGATCTGCAGAGGTATCAAATGGGGGAAGAGGAAAAGCCTGATCATGGACGCCACTAAACTTAGATAATGTATGAAACGGTTTATGCTCTCAAAAAATGACATGACGAGAAATTCTGAGGTGTTTGTCAACAGGATCATAACATCTATACCCCTTTTGTTCAATTCCATAACCAAGAAAACAATAAAGTCGAGAACGTGGTTGTAACTTATTTCGCTCATGAGGTTGAAGAAGAACAAAACAGGCACACCCAAAGACTCTAAGATGACTGTAGTCAGGAAGTTTTCCATAGAGACGTTCATAGGGTGTTTGAATTTGTAAAAGTGGTGTGGGAACACAATTCATGGTACAAACAGCAGTAAGAGATGCTTCACCCCAAAAAGATGAAGGCACAAAAGCAGAAAGAGTGAGTGAATGAGTTAAATCTAAAATATGTCGAAGTTTTCGTTCAGCTCGACCATTTTGTTAAGATGTGCCAGTACAAGAAGTGTGAAAAATTGTACTGTAATGTTGAATAATTTTTTGAAATTCATTTTGTCGGTACTATTAAGTATTATCAGACCGAAACATTTTGATTGGTTTGGAAAACTGAGTAACAATCATTTGAGTAAAATCACGAAATATTTTAAGTAATTCAGAATGATTTTTCATTAAAAAAATCCATGTGAATCGTGAAAAATCATCAACAAAAACAACAAAATATCGTGATCCTCCTATAATAGATATAGTCGAAGGTCCCCAAACATCAGAATGAATAAGATCAAATGGAGCAGAAGCAAAAGACTCACTTTTATTAAATGGTAAGGCAGGCTGTTTTCCCAATTGACATGAAATACAATCAAAAGACGCAAATTTAACCTGACCTAACAAACCCGTAGATGCAAGGGTTTTGACACGAGATAATGACGCATGACCCAAGCGAGAATGCCACAACTCAAATGTAGGAGTTTTGGATAGTGTTGAGGTAGCAGAAACAGTGGTAGTAGGCAGATGTAATGAAGAAAGTTCAAATAGTCGTCCTATCTTACGGCCTGTTCCAATGATCTGTCCTGCCTGAGGATCCTGTAAAACACAACCATTAGAAGAAAAAGTAATGGTTAATCCCAACTCAGTTAGTTGTCCAACAGATAAAAGATTAAGGGAAAGATTTGGAACAAGATAAATATGAGGCATAGAAAACTGAGATTGAGAAATAGTTCCTATGTGACTAATAGGCATAGTGGAACCATCGGCTGTATGTATAACGTGAGAGTGAGAAGTAGAAGTCTGAGATGTGAGGAAGGTAGGATCAGGTGTCATGTGATTGCAGCAAGCAGAGTCAAAATACCAAGAACCATGTTTACCTAGTGTAGTAGAAAGAGCAGTGGAAGATGCACCTTGATAGCGAGATAAAACCTGGTTGAGAACTGCCTCAAGGTCAGTTACAGAGAAAACAGATGGGGCAGATGTAGATTCGCCAGAAGAGTTGTTGACTGGTATTGAAAATGGTGGTGATAGAGATTCTACGTTAGCCACAGCTAAAGTGGAGAGTCTAGCACGAGTACGACAAAAGTCAATGCTATGCCCCGGAATCCGACAGAAAGTACAGTAAAGACCGGAACGGTCCTTTTTGTTGTTGGATTGCTGAGAGCCAGAACGATTGTTATTGTTACATCCCTTGGAGCCAGACTGATTAGTATTGTTGCGTCCATTTTGTCGAAAAAATGAGGCGGGGCGATCTGGTGCGGACTGAGATGGCATTAACTGTGGAGAAAAAGATGGTGTGGCTAAAACAATGATATGATTCTGAGAACGACGAGTCTGCAAACGTGTCTCTTCTCGAACAAGTTCATTGAGAGCTTAATCAAGTGATGGAAGAGGTGAGCGATGGAGAAGCTGACTGCATACTGGTTCAAAATCTTCATGAAGACTCATCAGAAACTGATAAAGACGAATGTGGTTGCGATACTCGAGAAATTTTTTTGCTTAAGAAAAATGCTCCAATGATGGTTCAAAAAGAGCTAATTGATCCCATATGCATTTCATCTGAGAGAATAATTCATTAATTCGCTGACCTGATTCTTGTTTAAGAATTCATTAATTCGCTGACCTGATTCTTGTTTAAGAGTAGAAAGTTGAACCATTAATTGATGGCGAGCCCCATCAGAACCAGAGTAGCGAGAAACAAGCATGTTCCAGATCTCCTTGGCTGTCTCATAACTCCCAAATTCCACACCAATAGAAGAATTGGATGTGTTACGTAACCATGCGATGATCTTGTGATTGTTACTATCCAAGTCTTCAACACATGTGGCATAGGCATCTGATGTCTTTTTTGTGGCTTGAGTAGGTGTTGTATGATTTCCAGTGACATAGGACCATAGCTTGCGACTTTTCAAAAAACTACGCATAGATTGACTCCAAAAGGAGTAATTGTCACCATTAAGAATAACTGAAATAGGGTGAGTTACCTCATTTTGGGCCTTTTAGAAATTCCAAATATAAAAACGGACTACGGATTCGGAATCAGCGCGAAAAACTGGGCTGGATAGGTGTTTCTAGAAAAAATTTCTGACACTGCTGACATGGTGCAGACATGGCAAAACGCTGGTGATGTGGCGCTGACGTGGCAGAATACTGCTGACGTGGCGCTGATGTGGAACTTGATGTCATGGCAGTTGACGTGGCACTTGCTGATGTGTCAGATGGCGTGGCAATCTGAGTGACGTGAAAGCTGACGTGGCGGAGTGTGTGGGTCTGACGCACCTGGGCGCGTGGGAGGCGCGTGGCAGCGTGTAGTGGCGCGTGGCTTGACGGGAAAAGTGGTTGAACCTTGTGGTGGTGCGTGGGGGCGCGTGCAAGGTGTTTTCTAGCCGTTTCTGGTGGCGTTGGGATGATCTAAGGGTGTTCTTTCGCCTGGTATGCTCAGAAGTTGAAAAGACTTTCTGAAACCCTCTTTCAAATCCCGAACAGTATGTGAGGAAAAAGAAAAATAAATAAATATAGATAGATATATATTTAAAATAAAATATACAAAGAACTTGGCTCTGATACTATGTTAGAAATAAGAGACCGAATTGAACTCTGTATATTGATGTAAATTATAAGAGATACAAGAGGGGTTTATATAGGGAGGATTATGAGTGATGAACAAGTAATCATATACAAGGTAACTATATATTATAATCCTATACAAGGTAGTAGAGATTATATAATATAGTAAGAATATATTGTAATATATTATAACAATTGGCATAAGGTCCGTCTTTCTCTATCTTTTTTTCTCTTTCTTTCTTCTTTCTTTGTGTTTTTCCTTTACTTTGGATGAAAGAGAGAAAGAGAGAGGAATGCGGATGGGATGGATTTTGAGAGTTAATGCCAAGAATAGAAGTTAGCAGCAAAGGCGAGCTGTGGAAGGAGAAATGCAAGGCTGGCCTTCAATTTTGGAGCTATTTTGAGAAATCTATGTCATTTGTGTTGCCCAAGAATGGACTCTAGAGGGGGGTGAATAGAGTCCTTGTCTAATAATGGCAGATTTAAAATTAAGTAGATGCGCAAGATGCAATTTCTATTTGACAACAATGAGTTAAACAAAATCAGCATATAATTGTAGTAGCAAGCAGTAGTTGATTTTAAGTTTATAGAACTCCAATTTTCAGCAAGTATCTTATAGCAATTGTGTAACAATAGATATATGAATTTAGCAATATAATGGCACAATTATAAGAGAGATAAGGGAAGAGAAATTGCAAACATAGACACGGCGATTTTAACGAGGTTCAGAAACTCCTACTCCTCGGCTCAAGACCCCTCTTGAGACTTCCCAATCCACTATGGCTCCTCCTTATGGGTGGAGAGCAAACCTTGATTAGAAGTAACTCCTTGCTAAGAGAAAACCTCTCTTAGTCTTCCTTTGGGCCAAACCAGCCCTTACAATAGCTTTGTTAAGAGAACTCCTTCTCTTAGGCTTACTCGGGCCACACCAGCCTTTACAATTTATTTGCTAAGAAAAACACCTCTTAGTCTTACAGCAGATTTGTAAATAGAAGTGGTAGTACAATAAATCCTCTCAAGAACTGATACAAATCAAACCTCACAATAGAGTATATATGAAATCAAGTGAAGCTCAAACTCTAAGTATAAAATGTATGAGAGATGATGAAGAACCAAACAGAACACAAGCTCTGTAAAATATCAGAACAAAATTTCTGTTTAAGATCAAATCAAGCTGGGAACAAAAGCTCCTTTGAAGATGGATTATACCAGAACAAAAGCTCTGTAAATGGTAAGTGAAACCCAGAACAAAAGCTTTGTTTAAGGCTCACGAATATGGCTCTCTCTTCTCTTCGTTTCAGCTATACAAAATTGATGTATATATATAAACCATATGATGTAATATAACTGTTGTGTAAATCTACATGATGGGCATATGAATATCTGACTCTATGATGCTCGAAATATGTGTATAAAGGTCTGTATAAAGCCTGGAGCAAGATTGTAGAAGTATTAAAGAAGATGCGCAACTCTGACACTGAAGGAATATAGCCGTTGGCTATTCTTTCAAGACTTAGTCGACTTAGTTGTGAACTAAGTCGGCTCAGTTCAAGACTGAGTCGACTCAGTTAGAAACTGAGTTGGCTGAGTTGCCTATTTTCTAGGTTCTGAAAGTGATAAGGCTCGGTCTAACTGAGTCAACTGGGTTGAGAAGGGAGTCGGCTCAATTATCAAATAAGCCGGCTGAATTATTAAATGAGCCGATTGAATTGAATTTTGATTTTGACGAGCCTCGGCCTAACTTAGTCGGCTGGATTGCTGACTGAGTCGGTTGAGTTGCATTTTACCAGAAATTCAAACTATTTGTGGTCTGCAACAGGCTTCTGCACAGGGCTTTTGCACACAGCTTATTTCCATTGAAAACATTTAAGTAAATGTCTTTACAGTATTTATATGTCCATTTACTTTAAGTTTTCAATGGAAATAAGGAAGTACTCCCCATTTGGATTCAATAAAAAATATTAGAAAATTGAAATCCAACTAAATCAAAATGTAGAAATTCAATTTTAGTACAATTTTGGATTTCTGATAGTTTTGGTAAAAATGAATCCTTATGTAGACCAATGTAGACTTGGTCAAAAATTCTGATAAAATCAGTTTAGGCTAGTTTAAGTATAAAGAGTTATTACCGGGAAAAATTATTTTGAAATAATCATTATTTCAAAAATCCATTTTTCACACTTAGCCAAAAACACAGTTTTTCATGACGCGCATTTTGAGGTCCTAATATCCGTTACCAACTCATGGTAATGAAGGTTTCTCATGCCTTAATTGTTGACCAATATGAATTATATGATTGATGTGCATGGTCTTAGCATTTCTAGCATAAGTGATGAGTTCTTTCTAAGTTTATGCAAGCTTGAACTAACTCATTCTTTTAGCAAAGACTTCATGTGTCAATTATATGAATGAAGTGCATAATCTATTGCTAATGAATATAGGAGCATATGAATGATGTATGATATGCATGGTCCTATAGAGATGAGTTTCAAATGAATTCATAAATACATTGACATTGAATCCTAAACACTCACCATCCTTTCTACCCCTTTCTTCAAGCTTTGACATGATCATTTAGGCTTTGAGGTATTCTTGCTTTCTTTCTTCCTTTGAGTTGCTTTCTTATTCATTGTAGTCCAATCTATCTTTGGATGGACTTTGCATTTGGTTCCTTGCAACTTCATGTTCCTTTGTCTCATTTGCTTTCCATAGATATGATCTTGAGTAATGGAATACATGGAATGATCTTTATGATCTTCATTGAGGTTCTTCTTTGAATGTAAATCATCTATAACACTCAATATAAACATTAGTCCTTAAACACCATTAATAGTTTGTTATCATCAAAACACCTAGATTGTCCTTGGATAGAATCCTTATGGTCAACAATTTGTTATATATATTGTTTATTAACCGTTAAATTTACTATGATTTATGCTGTTATCTGATATTCCATATTATATGTATAGTGTATCTGATAAATGTATAAATAATCTACAATTAAAATTAAATTGCAAGTAATACAAATAAATCTACAAATGCTCTTCTGGGTGATATACTATACGAAATGACACCTTTCCTCTGTGGCATTTTACCATTGGATCCACCCCTCGTACTTCAACCTTGGATCAATATTCATCTCTCTCTAATGCTTCTCCAAATTCTGCAGATTGACTTGCTCTGCAATTTTCTATTTCTTAATTTTCCGGGAAAATATTTTACGAATCCTTAATTTGTCAATTTGTAAGAACTACTTCATTCAAAGTGGTATCTGAAAGTGATTCCTGTATTTCAGTTTTTGGCAATCCAATATTTCATTTCTCAAAATACATGATTGTCGTTAACATGATCTTAGGTGTGGCTTAGAGAGAGATAGAGACATTACTAGTAGTTCAAATGATATAAAACTTATTTCAACTTTATTACAAGAGAAATGCCTCATCATTACTTAAAAGGCATTTGAGCCCTTCCCCACATATAATAAATTTACATGAACAAACTGGTATTGACCCTGTCCCTGTGAAAGAAACAACCGAGATGGGATACATTAATAACACAAACTACTACTACAACAACAATTATACATAATATTTCTTTATTACATGAATTCAATCTAATTAGGCATCAGTTATGTAGCTACAACTCTTTGATGGCAATGGAACCCGCTTTCGGTATTCTGCCAAAGCCCACAATGGATATATATTCCTGTAGGCTGCATAGTGTAACATGCAATTTTTCATGAAAACTCCAGTAATTTCCTGCATGTAAAAATGAGATGATCATTAGACAACTCTGGAATAAAAAAGTTCAATCAATATTACATTATGGATTAGAGTGAACTGCCCACTTGAAACAATTTCTCTCTTTATACAGGTTGATTTTGCATGTTAACAAATAAGTTGTTTAATTTAGTCATATGAATTACCTGTTGGGGGAAATCACCGTTTTCCATTTGAGAATTGATCAATAGCTTTGCACAACGGTGTAGAGGTGTTGGATCTCTCTCCGCCTATTGGAGGAGGAAAAGTTGAGGATCACACACACAAACACATATATAGATATATAAGTATACACAAATTTAAGTGTGTAAATGTTGCATTCATGAACAAACCTGCCCAGAATGAATTAGACCCATCATGGCCCATGCAGTATGCACCAGATTTGACCTGTTTCCTTCCAAAGGTGTATACTCCTGTTTCACAAAACACAACAATTATCAAAAACTGCAAAAACATAAATTAAAGTGAACAATTAAGCATTACCTTTTGAAACAATGGATGCTTAAGCATTACCTTGTTTGGGCAGGAAAGATAGCTTTCTCCCCAACCACCATCATCGCGCTGTGTTTTTAGCAGAAAATGAACACCTTTACGAACAGTTGGACAATTGTTGTAAGTCCTGCCAGCAGCAGCCAGCCCTCCTAAGGCAAACCAGGTGCCATATGTGAAGCACACTCCCCAATTTCCATACCTGCAGGTTATTTCTTCATATTATTTATCCCCAATACTTAAAACACTTAATAAAAAATTTAGTACTTGAATGGAGTGGAGTGACATACCATGAGCCATCTGGCATCTGTACATCTTCTAGGTACCTAACAGCATTCGCGATAAAATTCTCTATCTCTTTCTTCCTGTGTCCAGGATATAACTTCTTAAACAAAACAAGAGCCTGAATTGACGATGAAGTGCACTCCACATACCTGGATCACAATTCTATTAGTTAATTTCAAGGAGTTTTCACTATGCTGAATTTGCAGAAAAATGAGCTTCTTTGGTTCTTACTCATGCTCAATGACAATGTCTGCGAAGAATTCTGTTGGATTGAGCAGCTGCAGAGGAACGAAAAAACAGAATTTAGTTTATACACAACATAATGTGATTGTCAAATTAGTTGACAAAAACAAAGGGCATGTCATTTCAGTATGCTTAAGAAGTTACCTCCAACCACTCTTGGGCACCTGCTGGTTCCCATGCTGCTAAACCACCATTTTTGCTCTGATTCATATGAAACATAACTTATTGATATTACAAATATATCTTAAGTCAACAAATTAACATGGTTCAACAACTTTAAGCGCATAGAAATGTAGGAAATTTTCTAGTTCAGCATAAATGTGTCGACAACATATTGAAGTGTGATATATGCTTGTGCAATTTCATCCTTTACCTGTAAAGACATCAATATATTGACAGCATCATACAGCCGCTCAGGCTCCATTTTCTCACCAACAATTTCTGGAGGCATCATTGAGAAAAGGAGACAACACTGAACAAGAAAAAAGAATAAATTAGAGGCCATCCCATGGTTGTTGAAGTGTGATCCTCCACTTGATTGAGGTATCTCAGCAAAATTAGCCATTTGATTAAGGTATATCTTAGCAAAATAACTACCTTCAATCCTTCTGCAGTGCAATCAGAAACTTGCCATCCATGATCTTGATCGGAAAACGTCCATGATCCTTTAGAAATGTGGCGGTACATGCTTTTAAAGTCACCATAAGGATTGTCCGTAACCTGCAAATTTTCAAAAATGATCTGTCATAATTAAGCCAAAAAAAAAATGTATATAGAAAGAGTAAATTCAGCAGCTAAAGTGAGAAATGTCTTTAAGAATTTGAGTTGAACCTGAGACTTTTTGATAAAGTCATGTCCTTTCATAAGTGTAGGTCCAATTTCATCAGTGAGATTACTAGCCAATAGTGCTTGAATGGCAAAACCAGTATCCCATTCCTGACTGCCAAAACTCTGCATTTCAATGGTGATTATCAAAATTAGCAAATTGAAATTTTTTTAAATACTCAATTAGGAAGAGTTTCATTAACACTTAAACATATTACAGAACACTTCATTACTTATTCACTATACTGTGAAAAATGAATGGTTGTGAAGACATAAAAAATAAAAACACTACATTTTTCTACATATTCTAGAGAGAATATATAGTTAACTGTTGGGCATTTATTCTAACCTGCATCTTCATTCCATCTTCAGCAACCCATAAATAATCTGGAATCCTAGCAAGGTGTTTCTTGAAATAGTCTCCATTTGGATCTTCAACCCAACAAGCAAGCATACATAATACCTGCTCAAATCAAGTGCGCGATATTTTAGTAATTCATAAAACTTTTTTCATCTCCCAAACTCATACAATTCATACCTTTTCCACGCATCCAATAGTAATGTAACGACTGTTTTCATCTTCATAATGTATGTGCTTCATTGTAGTTTCAAGAGCCTTTGCCCTCAACTTGTTAAAGGGCCAACGAGTCAAAAGAGGCTCGGTGCATACGTAAAGACCGTCCCAGAGCAAATCTTGTATCAGGGGATGGGGATAGTAAAGGTCCTCCTGCAGCAAGTACACATAAACATTTTATTTATATGTGAAGACACATTTCAAACTACTGTAAATTGATAAAATCTTAGAAGCAATAATATAGTAAGTTTACCTTTGCACATAAATGGCGCACTTTCCTCCAATTGATTTGATCGTATGGTTCGGCATAAAGTTCTTCTCTTAGTTGTAGAATGAGAGGAGTGATTGGGCCAACAAACCTTTTCCCATATAAATATGACATAGGCATGTAAACCATCCGACAGTAGCACCACATTTTCGCTGCATTTACACGAAGAAAACATTGAAATTTAAACTGAAGCTATGTTACAAATTGAGTTTGAACATCTCAAATGACCAATTCCTCTCTATTATTTGTAAAATCTAAGGATATATTAGGTATTAGTTCACAAAGGTTAAGATGTGTACTCAAAACATTACATCATGAACTTTGCTAACCTGGATGCATAGGAAGGAAAGTAGGAATGAGCCAAAACTCTGGGGGCATTGGGTTGCTTCCTGACCATTCGCAAACACCAAGTATCTACAACAAATAGAGATCACCTCAGCATATGGAAGTTATTTGAAACTGATCATTGAATTATGATTTGTTCGCTTTAATTTATTTTGTTTTATAGGTAATAGAATTTAAGAGTGAATTCCATTCCCAAAAAAAAAAAAATTGTCATACCGAAAGCCATGTCTTTCCCCAGGAGGGTATGGCTGCCACACTACCATGGTCAAGGATCCATTTTCGCGCTCTGGCGCAGGCATTGTTTTCACCACCATCAGGTCCTTCTCCAAGTATACGCATACAAATGTAGCTGAGCGCGGTACAGAACATAGTGCTGTGCCCCTCAATGTGTAATCCCCACCCACCATCTTCGTTCTGTCATGTACCAAAACGAATTAGCTAGTTAGGTATGATGACACATGCATGCTCTTGTGTGTAATAATTACTCCATAAATATGAATCAAGTTTAGAAATAGTATATTACAAAAGTATGTACCTGATGACAGTAGATGTAACGAAGAATTTCTTTTCGATGTTCTGCTGGGAATACAGTATTAAGATGCCCCGTAATGTACATGCACATCACCTACACAATTAACAGTGCCACTTAATCAGAATCTCAATGGATCGTAACCAAATGCTTCAATTGATTGAACCAAAACTTAATGTACCATGTGCAATGCTCATCAGAACAGGACATTTGCAATGTTGGTTAGTTTTTTTTTTTTTTTTTTTTTTTTTTTTTTTTTTTTTTTTTGTGCATATGTAATAGTGTAAATTAAAATCAATGTTATTATTTGTTTCATGTTGACATTGATGAAAATGAGGAACATTAGTAATGAAGAAGGGGAGTAGCTTACTAGAGGTGGAAGGAAAAAAAGGGGACCGGCATTTTCAGCAGGCCAATGGCCATCACTGGCCTGCAAGGCTGCAAAGAAATGGACAGCTCTCTTGAGGGAAGTTGTGGCTGTTTCAAGTGTGATTTCCTCACCATCACCAACCTTCACTTGGGGTATTGTTTGTTTGAACTTCTTCTCTTGCAGAAACTGGAACCACAGGAAACATGGGATAAAATGTTAGAAGACACCCTCTCTCTAATATTAGCCCAAGCTTTTTTAGTATAGATGGTAGTTAACATATAAGAGAATAACATATCAAAATCAACACTAAAATTCCCATTTATATTGTGTAAGATCTTTTGAACTCTGATGCTTTTAGTGTAGCTCATAATGCATCCTAAAATTAACAGAACTGTTAGAATGACTTAAATGTATAAAAGTATAAGGATAATGATTTGGAGTACACATTTCACTTATTTATGTAAGTGAGAGCTGACATCATCACGATATCATTAATATATTTACTAATGTCGTAGCCCTTACTCACGTAATGAGAAAAAGAGGATGTATTTGATGATTTCTTCACCCGAAAAAATAAAAGAATAATGATAAAGAGTTTGACTTGTGTGAATACATGTCAAATCATCATACCGTTGAAAATATTAATAAATTAATTGGAGTTAGTCATACTTTTGTTCTTCAACTCAATTTCTAAAGAAAATGATACAAGTGATATAGATTTAAGGTTGAATTGATTTTTATTTTAATATAACAATTAACTTAATTAAACAAGCATTTAATTTATTTAAAATTAAGCGTTGAATTACTTATGCCCTTCAACTTAGAATCTTCGTAAATTTAGATAAACCTCATATATAGCCCAAAATCGTGATGTTGCAAATTTGGCATGCTCGGCAGAGAGTAATGTGGTAAAATAAATAAATTTGCTAAAATATGCTATATAATAATCAGAGTTCGGCAGAGATTCCAGTCTAAAAATAAAAGGCAAATTATGTAATAAAAGATGGCCCGTTGCGTTTATTATGTTTAGGTCTTTGTCATACCAGTCGTAAAGAAGAAAGATTTGGTATTTATGGCAACTTCCAAAAGTAAAAAAAAAAAATAAAGAAAGACAAACTTTATAAAAGTGGATGCCGGAGACTAATTTTAAGTACCAATTTTTGTTTTTTCTTTTTTTATTATAGGGCGTCAATCTATCAGAGTACTTCATAATCTGTCACGTGATATATGTTCTCATATGAGATAATTTCAAAAATTCTCTGATAGTTCTAAAGAGATTTAAACCTTAATTTCTAAGATGTGAGATCGATGAGAATCTACCATTTAATTTTTAAATGCCAATTTCAAATCACTCTATTTTAAGCTAGAATTTTTAGTGATGGATGAAAAATTATTCCCAAAATCGTTAGTCCTGGTCAATGCTTGTTAATACGTAAGTAAATATATTAATTTTGTACAAACTTTCTTAGTTTTTTTTGTTATTTGTGTATCAGCTCGATTGGATCAATAATTTCTAAACAATACACGTAGTAATAATTTTCGGTGGTGCAGACCCGCTAGGTAGTCACTCCTAGTCAAAATAGACACCGGCAGGTATTCGTCAACCTAGGTAGGGCGGTCGCTTATCCCACAGTGTTTCACACTGCCTTTTCTCTCATTTTCATTCTTCCACCACGTGTTTCTCTCTCTCTATATATAATTACATTATATATATATATATATATATATATATATATATATATATATATTACTCGTATATTGACAAATAATATAATCCCCATGTGACAGAACTAAACTTTTGTTTTTTTAAACAAGAGTTGATCGAATCCCCACCGCGTGAGCCACATGAAACCATGTAGCCAGTGTAGACATGGGGTGGGTCTGTTCCTGATGCAGAACAATGACTTTAATATAATATGTAATAGTATTCTAATAGGGTGATACGTGGGGTCAGTGATCAGTTTTGTTGTATGTGACAAGAAATATATATATATATATATATATATAGCCACCATATATTAGAATGGATGCTCAACCCCAAAAGGAATCTCATGATGGTGCGGAAAATAGTTTTTTTTTTTTTTTTTTTTGGGGATGTAGCTTGCACCATCATTGGAAATGAAGATATATGTGCAGCACTAAACATATATGGAGCCGAAAGCGCAGCCGATGGAGGACTTTTAGTTTGAGCAAATTTAATGTTCTGAACAAAAGTTACATTTTTAGATCTCAGGGATGTCTGAAAATGTATTTGTATGCGAATTATATATATATATGTACCAAGTGTGAGAAGAGGGGCAGAAATTTTTTTATCAGAATCAGTTTAGAACATTTATTTCTCTTTCGCCTCCGCTACATTAATTCCACCCACATAAAAATAGTCCAAGTTATCATATACAGTAAAAAACCACCATTTTAGAGAGAGAGAAAAACATGTATATGTATGTATACTGTATATGTATGTAAGTACCTGCAATCGCCAAAGGAGGTCGCCGCTAGGCTTGACCTGGTAGCGGTTATTCCAGAACTGAAGACGAGCGTCTTCAACCTCGGCTAGCTCCTCAGAGCTGCCATTGTAGTCCTGGTCAAATTCCCATATTTGTCTCCCAACGTAATTGTTTGTGCTATACAGATACGGATCATTGCCTCCTTCGGCGATCTTCAATCTCCACATTTTTCCAGATACTGATAATCTATGTATATGTCAAAACAATAAGATTAATTTATTTATACAATGTGTACGTGTGTGTATATAAACATATATATACACAAACATCTAATTTGTTTGAAAACTTTCAACTCTAAATGTTGAGCCTAATTCATCTCCAGCCTAAATCGATAGAGTGGGTCCGGTTGAAATGCTGACGGATGATACCATCTCAGCTCAGCTCTTCCGAGCTGGCCTCTCACACATACAAGAGACTTCTCAATAATTTATTACTTATATATATATATGTGTATATGTGTGTGGAGACTGGAGAGATATCTACAGAGACGAGAGGAAATTACAAGAAAACTTGAAAAACAACAAGCAAATATATATGGAGGTACCCGTTTGATCTTGCACAACTGCAGTTGGGTGACTATTACTCGAGAGGCTAGGGGTACACTTCTCTGTGTATATATATATGTGTGTGTGTGGAGAGAGAGAGAGAGAGAGAGAGAGAGAGAGGTGTTTTGGGTTGGATGAGCTTATGATGGTTAAATAGGTGAAGCACCTACCATTTATATAGATAATCAACACCTACCCAATTAAAAACGTCACTCATTCTGTTTTCTAACTCTTTCTTCCATACTTCTATAGTCCTAGTAGTCGATCGGTTTCATCGAAACTTGAAACTAAATTATTGAATTATTTATATACCAGCGCTTCATATGATACAAGAAGAAGCTTTTGCACCGTACCCGCCAAATCTGGAATATCTCTTTAATTTTAGGCAATAATTACCAACAACATTAAATTTTATGCCATCACACAAGTAATCAATTATCCACCCACTTGTTCTTTATATCTCAATTATAGCGTATGTATGGTTATGGGTATCTCCTATTGATTTGAAAATTACTTACTTGACCTCCTTGTCAAATCTTTTTGCCCTCGTGAATTATTATATTTTTGGGTAAGGCTCAACAATCCTTACGGTTGTTTTCATTGAAAAGTACACTTTAAAGTAAAAATAAAAGGGTAATAAATTCAATGTACTCCGCCCATCTCAATTTAAGTATGTTTACGGGGAATAGTAACTTTAAGGGAATTTATAGGACATGTATTGTCTGTTTAAAGAATTACTAACTTGTCCTTTTAAATTTTGAATATTCAAGTTTGAAATTTTAAACTCAAAGAATATATATAGAAAGATGTGAAATATATTGTTTGAAAAAAAGAGTGGACTATTATTTTAAAACAGACAAAAAAGAAAAACATGACACTTATTTTAGGATGGAGAGAGTACTTGATAGAAGTCAATGTTATTTTTTAATTTATTATAGAGATAATATTATTATGTTGTACATTAGAGAAGGGACTGTAATTTAACCTTTAGATATAAATATAATACTGTATTATGTTTATATCTAAACGTTAAATTACAGTCCCTCGATATATATATATATATATATATGTGTGGGTAAAATGTAACAAAATAACTCTCATTTTTTCATATAATGCATATAACACTCCTGTATAACTAAATGGATATATAACTATTTTATATTTTGGAAAAATGTTGAACATAACTACCCTCCGTCCAACCACCACTAAAATTAATTCAACTGTAATATCCTCAAATATAGTCGACACACATTCTTTGATTTTTTTTAATGCAATGCATATACACCTCTTGTGGTGTGACTGATGATGAACTTCTTGAGGCAACATAAAAATGGCATTTTTAAAAAATTTGTTCTTATTTTTTGGCCTGTATTGCACTGTTTTTAGCCGTCTTCTCCCTTTTTATTTTTTTATTTTTATTTTCAGAATTTCACCGTTAGTAGTCTTACTAGTTTTATTTTGGTTTTGATTTTGATTTTTTTTTTTTTTTTTGGGTGGCTACCATGAAATTTGGTACACTAATTGATGTAGGGCAATAGTGGCAAGAAAGTTAAAAATAAACAAATGGAAGGAAGCACAATGAATGTGGGGTTTGGTGGTGGTGCATGGTATAAGAAATGGTGAATAAAGGTATAAGAAATGGTGACATATGGGGCCACAATAAAGGTATAAGAAATGGTGAATGGTCAACAGCGTTTGAAATTTTGAAGCTGAGATTGGAATTGTATATGGTGGCACAACAGACGTGTTGAAAACTTGAAAGTTGAAGCCCTTTTGTTTGGGAAATTAAAGTGAAGAAAAAGTGTCTGATTCGTTTAGTATTATTTTGTCGATTATAATTCATTATAAAAGAGTATAAGATTAAAGGAAAATCCATTCAATCATATTGATATGAAGAATTATTTGAGAAAGAAATACCTATTTTTAGAGTATGAAACTTTTGTTTTGACAATTTACCCAAAAAAAAAATCTTTTGTTTTCACACCGTGAGATTTTATCAATCTTTTATCTTCTGCTTTGTAAGTTATGTTAGTATTAGATTTGCTTTTTGACATGTAAAATTATAACGTACAGTTTTGTTCAATGATTTTGTATCCATTACACAAAATAGATAAATAAATTCACTACACTTTATCGCTTTATTTAACCTTTAAAATGTGTTCAATGTCTAACTTTGAACAATAAATGAAACCAAGGTAACAACCATCCAATGATCCATAATAATTTTTTTTAAAAATAAATGCTTGATATTTCATTACATAAAAGTGTTTCTAAATAAATAAATAAATAAATGTGGCTATGTTTGGTAAGAATTAAAGTTTTAAAATTGAAATTAATAAAATTGAAGAAAAACAATTAAAAAAATTAAATTAAATTTTTTTTCAATTTCACCGAATATAATTTTAAAGTTTTAATTCCATACGGTTACGGGAGGCATTCAAGTTTTATTTAGTGGTTATTGCACTTGCACTACTTCATGTGGGACCACTGCACTATGGGAGGCATTCAAGTTTTATTTAGTGGTTATTGCACTTGCACTACTTCATGTGGGACCACTGCATGGTGGTGCAATCACGCTTTCCACGCCCCTTGCCAAAAAATAAAAAAAAATAAAAAACGAGAAAAGGTTAAGGATTAGCATAAAGTATAAGGATTAGCATATTATGGCTCAAAAATATGTTGCCAACTTGCACCGGAGATCAAGCATATGGTAATCAAATGATATGCTCCGGCCTAGCTTCGGAACTTGAGTCAACAACTAATCTAAGCTGCAGCTATGATGTGTCAACAGCAAGCTACAGTTGTTTTGTGAGTGACGAGCAAGCTCAGTACTTGTAATACTTGCCCAGCAAATATTTGAATGATTCATTTGACTATAAATAGTCGAGAGTATCTCAAGCTTTAATCATCCAAAATTGTCAATTGAGTTTGTAATATCAATTAGAGAGTGAGAGCTTGTGAGTGTATTTGAATTTTGAATGTGAGTCACCTTGTCCTGTATCTTTTTATCTTCATAGTAAAATATTATTCTATTTTCTTTCTGTAAATGTAAATATAGTCGAATCACATAAGTTCTTATCTCGTTTGTTTACGTGTGTTATTTTATTTTCTTACATTTATTTTTCTTCTATTCTCAAAAACTCCTATTAGACCTTTTTTATCATAACACTTAGCATAATAGACTTTGTTGAACTGCAAGCCTCTCCACTACTACCGGACGCCACTGTAGTCTAATTAATTTACTGGTAATTGCACCAATTTATGGACCCCATACACTATCATGTGAGACCACTGCATTCAGGTGTATACTGGACAAGTCCCGTTATTCAGTTTTTCATGCATGCCCCAATAATTTCATTCCACTCTTTTGACAAAAAAGAACAAGTACTACAGGGTGTTACAACGGCACTTGTCTAGTAAGCACGTGGAATTTGAATGGAGAAGCGACAAGTATATATAAATTGTATGTTAGTCCTATTTAATAGTTTAAGTCTTTTCACTTAGATTACATAGCACACAGCTTATATAAAGTTGGTATCAAATCGAAATCCATTCATTGGTATGATATCACCAAGTGCTCAGCCCAGGGAGGTCCAAATAAGCCATCCTGGATAAACAACATGGCTTGACCACAACAAGTACCTTGCAAATTCGGGTGAAAGAAAATGTATTGTTTAAAAATACTATTGTGAAAAGACTTAAATGGACATTGTAGGTACAAAATTCCACTCAATCAATAACGATTGAAAAAAATAATACAACACACTCAAGAATAGTAAAAATAAACAAGAACAATGTATCTAGAAGAATAGAATTGCTTGGCCCTTTTATTGGAGGTCTAGACCTCTATTGATACACAAAAGTTGGTAGAATTATGGTAGGACTCGCGTTACTTGTCCACTAATTCTTTCCATACATGACTTTCTTTATAAATAGAGTTCTTTCTATTGTATGATATTTCCTATGTAAAACTTGCTTTGTATAAAACTTTCCTTCTGTGTTGACTCCTTTGCTTAATAGGACTGGGCTATATTTAATTGTACTTGGGCCGAATGCAGCTTGGTGTAAGTGACTTGACCAATGGGCTGGAACTTCAACAGTGGTGACGTTGGGCTGATTGATGCTCTTCCCTGGCCTTGGAGGCCCAATATAAATGATACTGGGTTAAAGAATAATGTAATTTGGGCTTGATCCGGATGGGCTTCTGAAATCTACCAAATGTAGATTTATATAGTGATAACGTGTTCCATTCTTATTGGAGGGAGATTTTTCCCTCCACACTTTGCCCCCAATTCCTCTTTAATTGGGTTACGGCTCCTAATTAAAGGGGAATTGAAGTTGTGCAGTTACCATTTTCGCACGAGGCGTTTCCATTTGTGTCTATTGTTATTTTGACTCAAGGACTTCTTCAAGACTTGCTTTTGTTCTCAGTGTGCTCATTCTGTCCACTGCGTTCTTCATATTCTCATATCTCCATGTTAGTTCTTCTTTCCCTTCTTCCAATCTTACATTATGAGTACTTCGACTACTCCCGAATCTATAGAAATCGCAGATTCTGAGTCCACGCCCCCGTCTTCCCCTAATCTCATTAAGGTTCCTCCTCCTAGGGTTTCGAACTTCCCTAAGTCTGCAAATGACTCGGTTAATCAGCCGGATGTTTCCCCAATCCAGGCTGAAACATCCACCTCTGGGTCGGATAATATTTTCACTAAGGAAGAAAGGAATGCAATTTTATCTATTCGTCGTATCCAGTTTTCCATTGAATCCGTAATGGAAGACTTCGAGATTCCCGAGAGGGTAGAAATAGCAGAATACCCCAAGGGCGCCGATTTTTGTGCCGGCGAGGGCGTCGGAGAAGACGAGTTGCTCTTCTCTATTGGGCATCTCAACGCTCTTAGATTCCCCCTTCATCCTTTTTATCACTTAGTCTTTAACAAATTGGGAATTGCACCCCTACAAGTAAACCCTAACTTCCTTCGAGTAGTCTCGGCACTCCTTATTCGCCGATGGCTAGAGAGTCTTGACCTGACTCTGGCTGACTTGCTGATTACTTACACCATTTCTAAGCATAGGACCAAACCTGGTCATTTCTTTTTCACCTCCCCCTTGCACCAAAGGATATGTACAGACCTCCCTACTTCTGAGAAGAAGTGGAAAGAGAGGATGATAATTGTTAAAAGAAGATGGGCCGTACCCCAATCGAGCAAACTCCCAATCCCACACAAGTTTGGATAGTTAGGTATAGAACGTCCCCCCTCTCTTCATGAAGATTGTTCTGACTGTTTCCCATGTCGAGTCTTATTCTTTCGATATATTTACGAGTTTCTTGGTGTTTTTTCAGTGACATTCCCTTCTTCTGCTGCTAAGAAGAGGCTTTCCTTCCT